AAAAGGATAACGGTACACCTAGCAACTTTTCTTCAATTACTTTTGAAACCTTAACAATGCTATGTTCAACAATCAAGCGGGTACTGCAAAGACAACGAAAACCAACCCCGCTTTTAGCATCCAGTCTAATGAAGAACAGCATACTAGCCCCCACAATCTCTCCTCCCCAAATAATACACGTCTCTTGTGCTTCTGCCCTAAAACCAAATTAGAAGCGATCAAGTAAACTCAGCAGTGGTAGAAATGTCGATCTAGTTTAACCTACGTAAAACGAAGTCAGCAATCAAAATTGACAAAACATTTAAGGGATGGATTTAGGAAGCCAGTATATTACCAAAAGGAGAGTATTAACCCTAATCCAATGGTACCATCACGCTCATCGTACTTTTGCCTTCGCGCTAGTAGACCAGAGGTTCTTCAATTCATTCATAAGTGTTAAAGACGTATTTCAAGAATGCATTATGTAGGAAACTTAAACAAGTAGTATGAAACATTGTTTTGTAGTCGCTAGGTTTACTGCCCCTTCCAATTGGAATTGAGATATTCAAGTACGAGATGCTAAGGACGAATTTCATGAGATGCGGTAAAATAGCCTAAAGAATATAAATTTCGCCTCGAGGGGATGTTGTGCGCCGTTATTTACGTTATTTTACTATTTTTGGGACTCAGCCTTAGCGAGAGATTTGGCAAGACATTTTGTGCATCACCAAGCATCGTTGTGTCGGTTCAGTCATGGTCCATACTTTGAACTGTACTGGCGATCGAAGTTATCTATGGTGCTAGATTGTCTTGCACGTAAGTTCTGGAGCTGTCTCAGTCACTCAAATGCTGCACTGGGATCTGGGTAAAAACACACTTTACCATCAGTTCATGTGAAGATGCATGGTACCGTCATGAGACTATTCAGCAAGCATCAGTGGCTATGATGTCTACCATTTCCCGCAAAGTTAAGAAGAATATATCCAAGTGTTTGCGAATTTGTACCGCCACGACTGGAGGGGCGACAATGGAAGTAAAGGCCTCCGTGAAAGGTAAGCAAAACTCGCATGCTGAAAAGATCTATGCTATTTTTTCTCAAATATCGTCTTTCAATGCTGGTAAGATGAAGAGGAATTCTATGCCATCATTGTGGAGAGCCTTAGGGCTTCGACGATCGTAAAAATCTACCAATTAAATTTTGATAGTCAAGGGCTTTTGAAAACCAAAATTTGATGTGATCTGGTTGCATTTGTGCGATCAGATGCTGACTTCATCAAACAGTGGTAAAAGCAGGTAGGAGGCAGCATTCGACGTCACTGATGTCGCAGCGTCAGGATATCTGGCAATTTTCTGTATCCATCCGGTGGTGTAGATTGTGATTCTTCTTCATGCACTTGATATTAAAGAGCATACAAAAATTTGTGATTTATTAGCTGTGAAACAGTGGGAGATAGGGCGAACGTAGTTTGCAGATAAAAGGTCTAATTTAATTTCCTCATTATGGCGTAAGGTAATTACTTTACTTACCGTTTCGCTATCATCCTGCACTCTTGCCACACGTTTTACTCGTTTTTATCTTGAAAGAGGGGAAAAAGCGTGGATTTCTCATCATCTGCCTCTAGACCCGGGGAATTGTCTGTGACAGCAGCAAGCATTTCGCTTAATTATACCAAAATTAACGGAAAGCACTTTTAAACACGATAAAACCTTTTTTTTAAAATAAATGTGATCTAGAAACTTAAACTCAAATCATCAACTCACTTTTTAACCCTCCTTTCTATCATTCATTCGTTGTCCCCCGTCTCCATTGCAGTGCAATCTCGCGAAAATGGGTCCTCATTCATTTTCATTTGCCATGGTGACAGTCGCTTATAAGACGGCGAGAGTAACAGCCGTAAAAGCTAAGCCAATGTTTGTTTTAATGCTTAAATTTTGTGACACAAACGGAAAAACTGGAGATGAGTGTGCTTAAAGTAAATGATTGGCATGTATTAAATTTGGTTTCAATACCTACTGTGGCATAGCGTAATGTCATTGCGAACATTTTTGATGG